TTTAAAAAGAAAAATGTCTAATTGTATAAATTGGCAATTTATGTTTTGTTATTTATGTTCTGGAACCAGATAGATATGAACAGATCGATATATATATATATATATATATATATATATATATATATATATATATATATATATATATAAATAATAAAAAGGCTTAAACATAATATTCCATGGAATAATTTATTCCATTGGAATCGTAAATATCAATATATTTTTTTTAGTATATTTTCCAATATATATATATATATATATATATATATATATATATATATATATATATATATATATGCATGTTTCATTTAAAAACGAAAAGACAAGGAACTACGGTTAAGCTTTTCATTTAATTTTTTCTTGTGTTCGAACAAGAACTTTCTTTTCTGGACAAAGGGTGTGTAAGAACTGTCCAAATGTTTTATATTTCCGAGCGCTTTTGGTTATACCTGTATCCATTATCAAGGATGATTCGATTTTTAGGGTTTAATTGAGTGTGTGCGTTCTGTGTATGTCTTAGTGTGTGGTAGGCATGTTTTTAATTTCCGAATACGGTTAGCACATTGTGGCCTTGTTCGTAGTTAATATTGTTAAGAGTTGGCTTTTTCTTCTTTATTATTAAAGCTGCCATTACTTCCATTCCATACTAGTAGAAAATATATTAACTGCATCCATCTGCAAAAAAAGACTAAAAATAATGGAAGCTTTAATAATAAAAAAGAAAATATTTATGGGATAAAGTGCTCAATATCAGAGATAGAGCGTGTGTAGATATAAATGTGAACATTGAAGTCAACACTAGACGCAATCTTCCCGCCACGAGTATTTTTTTTTCTTGGCTATTTATATATACGGGTCAGTGGTGCATTGTGGGTAGTCCATTTTGGCGGTTATTTTGCCAGAAGTCGTTTTTTTTATTTATTTATTTTTATTTTAGTTCAATTATTTTGCTTGTTTTCATTTATATTTATTTTTATTTATCTTATATATTTATTTACTTTTATTTTAATCGGTGATTTTATTAACGTAGTATAAATCTGTTTATATCACTTATTTAATAGTTTAGTTTTGGCTTGGGTAGATAAAGTTATTTATTCAAATTAGGGGGTTGATTGTTGTAGTTTGTTGCATTATTTTTTGAAAATGTTGCAGTTGTTTAATTTCTTTATTACTTCAGGTATATATAAATTTTTTATTCTTTTTTTCATATATATATATATATATATATATATATATATATATATTATAACATATATTTTTAAATTGCATTTTCTTTGTCTCAATATTTTTTTTTGCCAACGGGCTTTTTACTCATTGCATGCTTATAGTTGGTACGATTGTTACTCCTTGATCGATGTTACAGGATTTGATCAATTTTCTATTCATATCCTGTTTGGCAGCATAAACAAAGATGAATATCAAAGAGCAATGATCCGAATCTGCTGAGAAGATGATGTAACTCGCCGTTTGACATAACCATACATATATATTAAAGATCAATTAGATTTTTGTCATATATATATATATATATATATAAGGAAAAAACTTAACACTTGTACTTCCCTTTTCTAACGTTGGAGACGTTGTTTTCGCCTTCATCGATTATCTACCCTCTCTTCAAAAATATAACTCCCCCAGGAAAATGTTGAAAAAAAATAATTTTGACAAAGAGAACCCTATATTGTTTAGATAAACAAAACCATTTTATATAAATTTCGGTCTGATTAAATAGATATTAAAACATATCTGTCGAAATAAATTTATTAAGGAATTATTCGATGATATAGAAGTTTTTTTTTTTGTACTTGTACATATAAACCATTGAATATGGAATTTAGAGATAGATAATCTGATAGAGAGATACGCTGATACAGTGAGAATCTGATTTAGTGTTCTTTATAGGAGTCACAGTTGCGAGCACGTAGACTCAGAAGGAAGTCCTAATTCGATACTGTATATATATTATTATTAGAACTAACCGCATTTCTGGATCTACTAACCGTATTACCAATTGTATTATTACGTCAATACATTTATTTGCGATATTTCATTCCTGTGTTTGTCATTCTTTTGAGACCGGATTTCATCCTGAATTCATTTTGAATATATATATATATATATATATATATATATATATATTTATATTACAAAATGCTCTATCTGTATTATTGAGCACAGCCCATAATTTATTTACCATAAAATAACGAATTATCTTCTTTAAAATATATATATATATATATATATAGGTGTAAAGATGTGTGTTGTGTGTAATGTTCCTGGAAAAGTAAATTATGTCATTTCAATATTTTTTATTTAGCGCATGCGCATATTTGTTTTTAATTTTGTCTACTGCTCAGTACAGTCGGGTTATTTTTGTTTGTCGGAAAATAATACCAACCATCATTATTTTCTTCAGACAAAGAAAAATTTGAATAAAATTAAATTATGCTTGGCAAAACTCTGGAAGCTCCAATACGAACATTTCAGAGTGTTTGGGTGTAAATCTTTTCTCAGTGCAGAGGATTCGTGAAGAGTTGGATGAATATAATGGATTTTGCAAAATAAACGACAGCTCAAAAAATATGTCATATTCTGATTGTTTTGATAAGCAAAGAAATCTCGCATTTATTGTTGAGAGCCTCAGATTCAACTATGGAATTCTAAAAATCCGAATTTTTGACGAGACAAATCTGATTTTGGATCAAGTTCTTCTGCTGAAGACCCAATGTCTGGCAACAGGATGATAACCATGCCAGACCAGCAGAAGTGTCATGGTTGTCAGACAATTTCTGCGACATCTCCCACATTTGGCATCCTATCTCCCCAGACTGCAAACCCCTGGATTATTATGTGTGAATTTTGACAATTATTGATTTGAGACCAACAAATCTGTAATATCAAAGATTTTTTGATAAACACATGGACCATGGTTTCATTCAACAATTTTGTTGGAATTTTGGGTACCCTGGTGTACTAGGTGAGCCAGCCAAAATGAGCTGACTCATTTTATAGTTCACCAATAAAAGGGTTAACCAATCAGAAGGCTCAAAATATTCAATGCGACGTGCATAAAAGCGGCCATGTTTTTCCCGAATATGCACTACCAGCCATTGATATCGAAGACTGAAGGATTACGGAACAGCTGCTGGTGTTATTGGCGATATAGTCAGATTCAGTAAAGTTCTGACTCGTGAGTGTTAATCTTTAATGTTGTTTTATTGAACAGATTACGTACTGCGCTGTATTCTATATTCATAGACTATAGTGAACATGGTCAACAATTTTAAACAGGGAGACCGCTCAAAAGAGTTGCAGAAGATTCCGAAGTAGTTTGGCGGCGTGGTTGAAGCCAATGGCGATTTTATTTAACAAATTTACTCTTTAGTATTTCAAGATATTTTTGTGTAATGTTGGTAAATGTATCTACTATAATGAGATGTCAGTGTTATTTTCATTTTTGCTTAATATAGACGACAATTTATTTTTCGCACCACACACACACACACACACACACACACACACACACACATATATATATATATATAGAGAGAGAGAGCGAGAGAGAGAGCATAAAAATAACAAAAAAGAAATTTAGACAATATAAAAATAAAAAGAGATGAAGATAAACAAAAATTATGTAACTGTAGAAATCCTCATAACTGTCCTCTACAAAATAAATGTCGCACTGAATCACTGAATCATTAGTATACCAATGCAATATCTCATCTATTGAGAATCCCGAAAACATAAAAACCTATATAGGTTGCACAAGCTATGAGTTCAAAAAAGATTCAATCAGCATAAAAGTTCATTTAGGATAAATAAATACCGAAATCAGACGTTACTATTGAAATATTTCTGGCACTTAAAAAAAACAATAAAATACCTACAGTAAAATGGAAATTAATAAGAAAAACTAGAATATGTAGGTCATTAAACAACCTATGTCTTTTGTGCATACATGAGAAACTATATATTACTAAGTTTATAAAAAATAAAAATTTACTGAATCAAAGAAACGAAATATCTATTCTTTGCCGACATTGGCAAAAATTTTCTTTAAATAATCTTTAAAAATAAAATAATTAAAAGAAAAAGAG